TCTCACACGCTTCGCGGGCCCCAGTGCCACCGTCCACTTGTGTCACCCACACCCATTTCGGCACCCCCCCTAGCACTCTTCGTGGCCCCATAGAGAGCTCCACCGAAGGCTCCAGTGCCACCACCCGCATGCGTCCCCCACACCAATGTCGGCACACCCCTCGCACGTTCCGTGGCCCCATAGAGAGCTCCACCGAAGGCCCGAGTGCCACCGTCCACATGCGTCCACCACACCCATTTCGGCACACTCATCACACGTTTCGTGGCCCCATAGAGAGCTCCACCGAAGGCTCCAGTGCCACCATCCACATCCCTACACCCATTTCGGCACACCCCTCGCACGTTCCGTGGCCCCATAGAGAGCTCCACCGAAGGCCCGAGTGCCACCGTCCACATGCGTCCCCCACACCCATTTCGGCACACCCCTCACACGCTTCGTGGCCCCATAGAGAGCTCCACCGAAGACCCCAATGCCACCGTCCACTTGTGTCACCCACACCCATTTCGGCACCCCCCTCACACGCTTCGTGGCCCCATAGGGAGCTCCACCGAAGGCTCCAGTGCCACCGCCCGCATGCGTCCCCCGCGCCCATTTCGGCACACCCCTCACACTTTCGTGGCCCCATAGGGAGCTCCACCGAAGGCCTCAGTGCCACCGTTCACATGCGTCCCCCACACCCATTTCGGCACACCTCTCACGCGTTTCGTGGCCCCATATGGAGCGCCACTGAAGAAGATATTTACAGTTGCGGTGCTCACAACTGCATATGGTTGGTTCCGTCGCCATGCTAATTTCCACGTCCCCTCGGCACATGGTTGATCCAGCGAGCTCGGCCTCAAGGCAATGAAGGGCCAGCGAGGAGGAGGAAGCACGGAAGAGACTGAGCGTCGCCCTGGGGCTTGTCGAAGGGCTCCCCGCATACGAATCCTTTCCCGTTCCTCTGAAGTCTCGTCCTCCTCATCGTTTTCCTCTCCTGGCCACATGCGCACGTGGACCGGCAGAGAATTTGGAGCGCTAGCCTTCTGGCTTGGCTTCCCGATTTTTTGATGAGAAGAAGGAGGAGAGCACGGCCACAAGAGCTCCCACAACGCGGCAGCCACCTCAGTGCGAGACAAGTCAGCGGCAGCGTGATGGAAAGAATCGGCATGAGAAATGCACAATGTAGAAGTCAAACATCCACCCCCATGATACCCACCCCGACACGCGAAGTCGTTTAGTAAACGCGCCCAAAGAAGGAATCGAACAAGGCAGGGCTGTTTAGTAAACGCCTAGGGCCGTTCAGTAAACGCCAAGTGTCTGGTCCTAGTGGTTGTTCCTCCCTTGACACTGGTCGCCACCCAAGCGCACGCAGCAACGCGTGCGTCGACCCTGACTGGCCGAGCCCCCCGGGTCGGGCAAGACTCTGTGTGTGGGGACGGGATACCGCGGGGACCAAAGTACAGAACCTAAGCCGAGGGAGAAGAGGAAAGGAGGGGGGAAGAAGAGCAGACAGAATCGGGAGAGAACGCAAATCACCGTCGTAACGCAGCGGCTGGGGGAAAAAAGCGCCGAAACTGTCGTTCCGGCGCCGGCCGCGCTAGAACACATAAAACAGGACTGTCACATCCACGGCTGCTTGCTAACAGAAATGAACAAACTCGCGCCCGAAAGCGGCGCGGAAATTCTCACCCTACGGCAGCAAGCGTCACGAACTTCAGCGAGACTTCGTCTTCGTCCCTGCCGCAGCCACGGTGGCGCCGTCTTCGCGGCCAGGCGGAACCGGCGTGCTCGTGGAGCTCGTTGCGCACTATACACCCACAACACATTCGCAAAACATTCGTTCTCTTCGGCTCTACCGCGGCGTGGTCGCGTCTTAACTCTGAGGTCCTCTCGCTGAGGCTCGTTATGCAGGCCGTCCCTTTTCGCAGAGGCCCTCTCGCTGCGGCTTGTCTTTCCGAAATTGTGGCGACTGGTTGGAACGCAGGATCAGGCATGCAGGGAGGAGGGTAGCAGAGTGTAGCACGCATCGTATCCTGTTGGGCTCCCAGCAGTTGCCTGTGCGGCGTTAAGCCAGCGCTGACGGCACCCCCCCACACCGCAGAAGCTTCGCATCGCATCCTAGATTGAATCCTCCTCCTCCTCCTCCTCCTCCTCCTCCGCCTCTTCCTCCTCCCCCTTCCCCTTCTTCCCTTCCGCCTTTCCCCTCCCTCCCACCCACCCTTCCGCTTCCTTCCCCCTCCCACCCTCCCTTCCGCCTTCCTCTCCGCGACCTGCCCCTGTCCGCGACCTGCCACCCCCCCCTTCCCGCTGTGATCCCTGCCCCAGTGAACTGGTCCATACCCCGGTGAACTGGTCCATTCCCCAGTGTCACTCGGGAATGATCTAGCTTGCGGGCGTAACTGTGGCGAGTGTTCCGAAAGGGGTCGTCTCACAAAGGTCTGGAAACCCAACTGGTAGGCTTATGTCAAGCAACTCACTTCCACTGGAAAGTAGTAGTAGTGGTAGTAGTAGTAGTAGTAGCAGCAGCAGTAGTAGTAGTAGTAGTAGTAGTAGTAGTAGTAGTAGTAGTAATAGCTGTAGTAGTAGTACTAGTAGTACTAGTAGTACTAGTAGTACGAATAGTCGTAGTAGTAGTAGTAGTAGAAGTAGTAGTAGTAGTAGTAGTAGTAGTAGTAGTAGTAGCAGTAGCAGTAGCAGTAGTAGTAGTAGTAGTAGTAGTAGTAGTAGTACTAGTGATAGTAGTAGTAGTAGTTGTTGTAGTAGTAGTAGTAGTAGTAGTAGCAAGAGCAGTAGCAGTCGTAGTGGTCGTAGTAGTCGTCGTAGTACTAGTGGTAGTAGTAGTACGAGTAGTAATAATAACAATAGTAGTAGTAGTAGTAGTAGTAGTAGTAGTAGTAGTAGTAGTAGTAGTAGTAGTAATAGTAGTAATAATAGTCGTAGTAGTAGTAGTAGTAACAGTAGTAGGAGTAGTAGTAGTAGTAGTAGTAGTAGTAGTAATAGTAGTAGTAGTGGTGGTAGTAGTAGTAGTAGCAGTAGAAGTAGTAGTAGTGATAGAAGTGGTGATAATATTAATAATGATGGCAAATCGCAGTAGACGCATTAGCCGTAGTAGTAGTGATAGTGGTGGTAGACGTGGCAATTGTAGTAGAAATAGTCATAGTAGTACTAGTATTAGTAGTAATAGTGATAGTAGTAGTAGTTGTTGTTGTTGTAGTAGTAGTAGTAGTAGTGTAGTAATCGTAAAGGTCGTCGTAAGAGAAGGAATGGTTATCGGAATCCTAGTAGTAGTCGACGTGGTAGCCGTAGTCGTAGAAGCGGCAGAAGTAGAAGTAGTGGTAGTAGTAGTAGAAGCCATGATAGCAGAAAAAATAAGAGTCGCAGCCGTAGTACTAGTAGTAGTAGTAGTAATAACCGTCGTTGGAGAAAAAATGGAGGAAAAAAAAAAAAAAAAAAAAAAAAAAAAAACGTAGCCGTGATAGCAATAGTTTTGAAAATTAGTAGAAGTAGTAGTAGTCGTAGCAGTAGTTGAGATAGTGGCCATAATGATAATAGGAGTGGAAGTAGTAATAGTCGTCGTAAAACTAATACTATTGAAGTAGTCGCATCAGTCGTTGTGGTAGTGGTAGCCGTAGTACTAGCAGAACTAATAGCACTGGTCGTAGAAGTAGTAGTAGTAGTAGTAGTAGTAGTCGTCGTAGTCGTAGTGGTGGTAGTAGTGGTACTAGCAGCACTAGCCGTAGTTGTTGTTGCCGTAGTCGTAGTAGTAGTATAGTATTGGTCGTAGTGGTAGTAGTAAATATAATAACGATAGTGGTGGTAGTAGTAGTCGTAGTAGTAAAAGTAGTAATAGTAGTAGTCGCCTTAGTTCTAGGAGTGGTAGTAGTAGCGACCGTAGTAGCAATAGTCGTAGTAGTAGTAGTTATAGTAATAGTCTCAGTAGTAGTCACACTAGTAATAGTAATAGTACTAATACTAGTAGTAGTAGTAGTAGTAGTAGTAGCAGAAGAAGAAATAGTAGTAGCAGTAGTAATAGTAGTAGCAGTGGTAGTAGTAGTAGTAGTAGTAGCCGTAGTGGTAGTAGTAGTAGTAGTAGTAGTAGTAGTCGTAGTAGTAGTAGTAGTAGTAGTAGTAGTAGTAGTAGTAGTAATAGCGGTCACAGTAGTATGAGTAGTAGTATTAGTAGTAGTAGTAGTAGTAGTAGCAGTAGTAGTAGTAGTAGTAGTAGTAGTAGTAGTAGTGGTAGTAGTAGTAGTGGTAGTAGTAGTAGTAGTAGTAGTAGACGGTCCCACAACTTGCCCGCAATGCCTCTTCTTGGGCGTCGTGGTACTCCTGTTGCGTGGAATGCAGCGCCCAGCCTTTCCCGATTCTCGGCGGTGTCCATCTCTTCTTCCGCCGTGCCTTGCTTCCGACCTTTGCCCTAATTGCCCTGTGGTCCGCACTCTGCATCTAGTCGCGAACGATGTCTGAGGTACGTAACTCGGAATTGAGGGTACGATCAACTAGAATATAATCGATTTGTCCTAGGGCCCCGGTGCTCCACGTGCGGTGCGTCCACAGATCGTCCTCCCTCTTGTTGAAGGACGCACTGGCAATGCATAACTTATGCTGCTCAGCGCATGCCGCGAAAATCACCCCTCTGGCAGAGCGGGGGCCGAGTCCGTGCTTCCCGACGCTTCTGGAGTCGCCCCCTCGTACTGCCTGCCCACTTCTGCAATGGCATCTACTACAATGCCCGTTTTTCTCAATGCCCGGCCCTGCGGCGCTCTGCGGGGGTGCACTCCGAACTGCTTCCAAAGCTCGAACTCAAAATCCGAATACCCACTATGAAGAAGATGTTCAAAGATCACTCTCCATACACCGGCCCATGAAGAGAGATCTGCGCGCTTGCCTCCATCCATCGTGCGAAACCCTTCAAAGCTTTAGACGCGAGATCGGTGAATAAGGATTGCTGCGTTCTTCTCTCTCTCTCTCTCTCTCTCCCCGCGCTCCGACGCACCGCAAGTGCCCCCCCAATCGCCGTCTCAACTGTGGTGTGGTCGCTGCCTGGCCCCCCCTGCACTAGAATGATATCCCAGGAATATCCAAAGAGTTGGCGATGGCGAAGAAGTCCTCCTATGTATTTTCGCATAGCCCCGCCGCGTCCCACGCTCATGCGTAGAAGAGTTCGTGCTCACGCTCAGCATGCGTGCTACAATGATGTACGGGATACTGCTCATGGTCATCATGTCCACCTGTTCCGCGTTGCGCGGCTTCTCCTTGGGAGCGCCGGGGCGGACTCGGATCATCTGGACAGTCAGCGTCACGCGCAGTCGCCCCGAGAAGATTGCCACCAAAGGCTGTCCAGGATATGCAAAAGGCACGTCTCCAGAGACATGGTGATACATCCCCCTCCCTCTGCCTCCAATCCGTCCCCTATGGGGCATTGGCGCCGTAGGTGTTGGGTGCGAGACCGATGCTGTCGATGTAGAGTCACCAACAGTAGTTGCGTGCTTCCTCTGGCCTTGTCTTCGTGCTGTTCACGCTCCTCCTCCCAATCCTGATCTTGTAATCGAACATGTAGGGCTTCTGCTTGCACAGGTATTCTGCAGAGTTCTGCTGCGTGGTCCTCTCCGCCGGTAGGGTCAAATGTCTTCGTCTGCGGTGCTGGTCCGCTTGTTTGCCCAATTCTTCATGAAGGCCTGCACTGCTTCCTGGACTTTCTTCCCCTCCCCCTCGCACTGCATCCCCTTTTCCCGCTTCCTCCTCCCAAGCGACACGATTGTCTTTCAATTCCTCGACCCGCTGTTTCCACTTGATGAAGATATCCCCCAACTTGTACCCACGTCCTTCGTAGTGTAATAGTCTCTTGATGTTCCCCATGTCTTTGTCTATTGTGCTTTTTGCCATGTTGCCATTACACTTTAAACGCACATGGGAACCATTGTCCCACTTCGGCTTCGCCCTTGAAGTTGCCTTCAAAACTCCAACATTTGATGCAATTGATTTGATTTGTACAACCCCGGTTTTTGAAGGATCCGTGAATACGAAGATGTCCGTACAATTACTCCCCGCCCCTAGGTCGTCCACCACCCGCCTTACCTGTTTGATAATATCCTCCTCGTCCTCCGCGTCCAATGGGCCTGTAGGCATGGCCTGTAAGTCCTTTGTTATATTGTCCTCGGTATCCGGAACACGTACGTTAGGTGGTTGATGTGGTATCACGTTGCGCTGCTGCATCGTCTCATGGAGCTCTTTGAGGTCGTTATCCAACGGGTCACTTTTGAATTTCATGTTGGTGATGTCATCTTTGATGCTCGTGACTCTTGTCATTGCTGCTTCTGCCGTCTCATTCGCCGGGTTGGCTAGGAACTTGACCTGCGCCATGCCCCTCTCCAAGCCCATCATGCCACCGAATAGATTGTCGATATTCTCCTCTTGGGTCATATCCGCCTTGGGCTTCTTCCCTGGAGGGCTGCTTGCGGTTGCACTGTCAGGTTTGCGCGCGCCCGAGATAATTAATTTGACGTGCTCCATCTCAGCCTTCGCCCTTATCGCACGATCAATCCCTGCACTGGCCAATAAGGAATGAGCAGTAAAATGTAAGCGGTGAGCAGGAAAGCTTGGACAGGAAAGCTTGGGCAGGAACTGTGTGTGAAGCGTCTGTTGAACGCAACGTATGTATGATACGTATGTGTATGAAACGTACAAACCCGAAATTATGATCTTATTTCCGCCCAGAAATTGCCCGCGGAGCTTCCCAGAGGCCCACGGGGCGCCCCAAACAAGCCCCTAGAGGATCCGAAGTGGCCCCCGGGAGGGCCGAAGAGGCCCCGAAGAGTCTTGCAAAAGGCCCCCGAAGGGCATCCCAACAGATCCTGGCATCCACGAAAGACGCCTCAGCACCCACGACTCGGGCACGGTGGCGGAGTGGGCCGAAGGCCATTCGATAGTTGTGGCCCTCGCAAGATCCTCCACCTTCCTCCGCCTCCGCCTCCTCCTCCTCCTCCTCCTCCTCCTCCGCTTCCTCCTCCTCCTCCCCGTTTCCCTCCTCCACCTCCTCCACCCATGTCCCCGAGACCGCCGTCGGCCACGGCCACGAGAGCTCCCCAAAAACTGGGGGCAAAAGGACGCCGCATGTGGCAGACGTCCTCGCTTCCCTCCTCGTCATCCTTTTTCCTTTTTTTTCTTCTCCTCCTCCTCCTCCTCCTCCTCCTCGTCCTCCTCCTCATCCGCATCCTCGCCCGCCTGATCCTTCTCTTCCTCCTCCCCCGCATCACCATTCGCATTATCATCAAAGCTGCTGGGGGGCGCCATCACAGCTGTGAAGGGGCAGCTGCCAAGGAGCGTCTTTAAAGCGGCCAGGGAGCGCATTAGAAGCAACTAGAGAGCGCCGTAAAAGCTGCCATGGGGCGCATTTAAAGCTGCTACGGAGTGCCTTAAAAACTGCCAAGGAGCGCGTTAAAACCTGCGCAGTAGCGCCCTAAAAGCTGCGAGGGGCGCCTTGGGAATGGTTAAGGAGCGCCTTACAAGCTGCCAAGGGGCGCTTGAGAAAAAAAGGTTATAAGGCTTCGAAACCTTCAGGATCTTCAGAACCTATCAACCGGAGAGTGGACCAAGTCACCGGGGAATGGACCAGTTTACCGGGGAACGGATTGTTTCGCCTCCCTCCCTAACTCGCTTCCTCCCTGCCCCGCCCCCATACAAATGTCACCTTTCCTACCCCGCCTTCTCCTACAGCCTCCCTTCCGCAAGGGACAGGAAGCTCTCGCCACGGGTTGCCTGCAGGAGGAAGAGTAGGAAGAGGACGAGGACGGTGAATGGCCGACGGGCCCGACCGCTAGCTCCCTTCCTGTCTCACGCGGCGTGTCGCAAAGACCAGCGCGTCGGCAAGCCTGTTTTTGGAGGCCTCCATCTGCCGATCATGTGTCACGGCCTCCTGCGCATCACAATGGTCAAAGGTCGGAAGGAAGGACGAGCAGGCACAAAAGGTCGGCATAAACGGGGCAAGTGGAGAGCTAACACAACCATGTACTGATCCGCCATTCCCCGACGCACAATAGTGATGCCACAGTGCCTTTACAACGATGCTGGTGAAACTCATCCCTGGCCTTGCCTTTCTCCCCCGCCACTGTAGCTGAATCCTCAATGTTGCAACCTCCCGCTTCTGCTCCCCAAAAATATTCTTAAGCCCAGCCCATCTCCTACCCCCATCCCTCTTCCTCCAGAAGAAGACCTGATCAGGTATGGTCGTCAATCTGACCATGGCTGACGGTGTGAACTATAGTCGCGATACTAGTGGCGCCCGATTCACCATTAGCATCTGCGCGAGTCGTGGAGCTCGCTATGGGACTCCTCCTCGCCATGTGCGTCAATGCTGCGGGCCCGTGTCGCGTTGCTGTGTTGTTATGCGCGGTGCGTTAGCAGCGAAAACGAAGCTTCTCTCGCGTGCACATGAACTCGGCATTCGGAGATGCGTCATCGCCGAAGTGGCCAAGGTACATACCCTGCGCCCCTGCCAGCCAGTCAGGCCATCGAGCGCTCGGCATGACACCTCCACGGCATATCTCTCGGAGAGGGAGCTCAACTTCCGCCTGGGGGGCTATGCCCCAGGCGCTGCGCAGAAAAATAGCCACACTGGTCGGTTGACATGCACGCGGGAATGACGCATGTTCCTGGGTCACCTAGCTTCGCACACCTCCACCGCAAGATGCGCGACGCGCGGGCGCCGCCGCCCTGGAGAAGGGCGCCTCTTCAACCAAAGCCAGGATGCGCGAAGCGCGATCATCTTCGCACCCTTAAAGGTGATTCGGATGTTCGACGTCGGCTCCGTTCGGGGAGGCCGCAGAGGGAAGCACGATGGCTTCACTGCCCCCCCCCCCCCCCCAGCCCCAGCCCCAGGCCCTGGGCCGGTACCCGCGCGATCCCCGAAAGCCAGAAGAAAGAGTAGACGTATGCACATGCACTGATGGGCCTGTTTTCCACCACCACCACCACCACCATAAGTTGGAGCGGGGAAGGGGGAGGAGGACGAGGAGGAGGAGGAGGACGAAGAGGAGGAGAAGGAGGAGGAGGAGGTGGAGGAGGTGGAGGAGGAGGAGGAGCAGGACCCCCGTCCCCCTCTTACTTATGGTGGTGGTGGTGGTGGAAAACAGGCCCATCATGCACTGGCCCTGCAAGGGTCCATCCTGGGCCCTGGAGCGGTGCACGCGCCGTCCCAGCTCGGCCAGGGAGGCGCACGGGATCCTTCGTGGGCCCAGGATGGGCCTGGCCAAAATCGGTGCACGTGCATACCCAGACATGCAGTGTCTGACTTGTTTCAAGACGGGGGCCCTGGGAGTCCCGGCCTTTCCCCAGGGCCGGCTTTTCATCGCGGGTCGCTTGTTGGACGGTCCCCGGATCTGGTGAGGACTCCAGGAGACCGAAGACTGGCAAAAACCTCCAGTCTTAATGTTTCAGGACGAGCATGTCTGGGCACTTCTCTTGGGCTCCTTTCGGTTAATCCAAGACTCTGGGAGGCCAACTTAGGCCTGCGTAGATACGGCGGCCGTGTGGGGTCGCTGGTGCGTAAGAAGTGCACGCTGGCATTGCACAGATCAATGCACCTGGACCTGCCTAAACGAGTCTAGAGTGGTCGTTTTTGGTGCACTCGTTAGCTGCCGCTCCCTTCCCCCTTTTTTCCATCGTCCAAGCACTACGATTCGAGGCCGCTCCAGGCCCCGTCTTGATTGCTCCATTGTGCCCCTAAGCGGTCCCACCCTTGAGCCCCAAGGCGGCCACAGGCAAGCGGTACGGGCGCGGCAGGGCAGCAAGAAGGGGGATGCCGGGCGTCTAACGTCGCTTCGCCCTCGTGAGTGCGGCCCTCCGCGCCGTGATCTTTCCGCACAGCGTGGGCCCTCAAAGGTCTGGGCCGCTAGCCCGGGGCGGGCTCTGACACAACGAGCCGTTTGGTGGGCGGCCCCAGGGAGAGGTCGGGCCCCCGCTGGCTGAAAAGTGCTGTTATACCCAAAAAAAACCTCGACGGCGATCTCCCTCTATCCCTCCCTTTTTCTCTCTCTCTCTCTCTCTCGGAGTCGGAGTCGTAGGAGCAGAAGGAGGAGGAGGAGGAGAGGAGCAGCACTCAATACGAGGGCTCGCAGCAACCCCATCCCCCCGCAGAGGAGGAGGAGGAGGAGGAGGAGAAGGAGGAGGGTGAAGAGGAGGAGGATTTCTGGCGCAGCAAATTGTTTGGCGGCAGGCGTACTCCTCGTTCCTCCCTCCCCTCCTCCTCCTCCTCCTCCTCCTCCTCCTCCTCCTCCTCCTCCCCCTGGTCCTCCTCCTCCTCATGATCCCTCGTCTCCTCCTCTTCCTCCTCCTCCTCCCCCTCCTCCTCCTCCTCCTCTTCCTCCTCTTCCTCCTCCTCCTCCTCCTCCTCATCCACCTCCTCCCCCTCCTCCCCTCTTCCTCCTCCTCCTCCTCCTCCTCCTCCTCCTCCACCTCCTCTTCCTCCTCCTCCTCCACCTCCTCCTCCCCCTCCTCCTCCTATTCGTCATCATCAACAGAATCATCACCATCATCAGCATCATCAGCATCATCGCCATCAGCAGCAGCATCGTCGCCATCAGCATCATCACCATCATCAGCATCAGCATCAGCATCAACGGTATCGCCAGCACCATCGACATCAACATCTTTATCATCCGAACAAAAGCAGCATCATCCTACGCACCATCACAATCAGCATCATCAGCATCATCGTCGTCAACAGCAGCACCATCATCATAATTAGCATCATCAATAGCATCATCAGCAGCAGCATCATCATCAACGTCAACATCAACATCAGCAGCACCATCATCATCATCATCATCATCATCATCATCATCATCATCATCATCATCATCATCATCATCATCATCATCATCATTATCATCATCAGCATCATCATCATCGACAATACCATCATCATGATCAGCCGCAACATCATCATCACACGATCATCATCACCATCATCGACAATAGCATAATCAGCATCAGCATCATCGTCATCATCAGTATCACCACCATCATCATTCGAATCAGCATCATGGTCATCATCAGCATCAGCATCACAACCATAATCACCATCATCGTCAGCAACAGCATCATCTTCAGCATCAGCATCATCAGCAGCATCACCAGCATCATCAGCAACCGCATCAGCATCAGCATCAGCATCATCATCAGCATCATCAGCCTCATGATTTGCAACAGCATCATCAGCATCATCATCACCATCATCAGCAACCGCATCAGCATTAGCATTAGCATCATCATCATCACCAAGATCGTCATCATCGTCATCATCAAAATCATCCTCATCCTCATCCTCATCCTCCTCCTCCTCATCCTCATCCTCATCCTCATCCTCATCCTCATCCTCATCCTCATCCTCATCATCATCATCATCATCATCATCATCATCATCATCATCATCATCATCATCATCATCATCAGCATCATCGACCCTCCACCCTCGATCCTCGCTCCCCTCCTCGACCAGGGAGCGACATCGCCGCCCGAGGACGGTCCACCGGAACGGCTCCGCGCGAGGGCACGGGCCGCAGCCTGCTCCCCCTCGACGGCCAGCTGGTGCTCCTGGACCTGAGGGAAGACGAGCTTCCGCCTCGGTACGGCCCCCCAGCAGAAGCGCGACCCAGGCCCCGGATCTGCTCGCCCGCGAGAGGAGGAGAGGGGAGAGGAAGAGAAGGGAGCGACGGGGGGGAGGACGAGGAAGAGGAGCTCGCTCGCTCTGCTCTGTCCTTTGAGATTGCTCTGTTCATGACACGCTCGGTGGCTCCCAAGGCGGAGCAGCAGTTCCCGCCCCGTTCGGTTGGAGCGCATGGCCACGGCGGACTTGGATTTCCGACCTCATGAGGAGGAAGGAGGAGGGAGGAGGAGGAGGAGGAGGAGGAGGAGGAGAAGGAGAAGGAGAAAGAAGAGGAGGAGGAGGAGGAGGAGGAGGAGGAGGAGGGAGGAGGAGGACACGCATCCTGGGAGAAGGGGTACCCAGACCTCCACGCCCGATGAAAAACACAACGCGCAAAAATTGAAACGACTCCGGGTGCAACCCCGGCCCCTTGGGAAATGGTCAAGACCTCTGGGGCTCCACGCAGTGAACAGATCACGACGTCGGAGATTTGAACGAGCGGGAGGTCAGGCGGCCCAGCGGCGCTGGAAGACCACTTCTGTCCACTCTTGGGGTCCCCCGCGGGGAGTGCTGGCCCCCAGGATCAGTCAGCGTCGAATCGGGAAATCGGATCGAATCGGGGTGTGCGTCGGATCGGGCTGCATCGGCCTGGAGTCCGAGTCGAGACCGAAGCGCAGCGGACGCGCCAGGACGATGCATAACAGCGCCATGCAAGCATCCAGCCCCAATCGTCTTGTGGGAATGTCGGGCTCGAATCGGATCGGACCGGCCGGGGTCGCCGTCGAGTCGGATCGATCGGATCGAACTAGGCCCGGCCCTGGGGACGTGGCGAAGGGAGGAGGAGGAGGAGCAGCAGCAGCGGCGGCAGCCCGAGCACGAGCACAGAGCTTGCCGAGGGGCCTGGCTGGCCTGGGCTCGCACGCACCGGGAGCCGCCCTCCGGCCCAGAGAGCGCGTCGGGTTCGTTCGGCGCTGCGGACGGGCGACGTGGGAGGGCAGCTCCCACAGCTGTCGGGGGCGACTGCGCCGAGTGGAGGGGGAGGAAACGGCGACGATGACCAAGACTGAACGCGGAAGCTTGATGCGGATCTTGGAGGCCGTCCATCTTGGCTCCCGTCGATTCGTTGACCATCCTCGCGAGCCGGCGACGGTCGGCATGGACCATGACCAAGGTAGGCGTCGACAAGATCCCGCGACATCTTGGGGGGGGGCAGGGCGAGTGCAACGATGCGAACCGGTGGATTGCCACCTGCTGAAGCGGATCTGCAAAGGGTGCCCTTTGGCTGGAGCTACTGCGCGACGGAACACGGCGGCAGCGGAACAAGGGAGCGAACCCGTAACGCACAAGCGAACCTCGGGCTGACAAGAAATCAAGGATCCGGACTCGTGATATGGCACAAACGTGCGATAGAGCAGCGAGCAGGAAGAGGAATCATCAGGGGCCCAATATCCTCTTGATTCTTGCAATGCTGCTGACAATGTCCACTGGAACTGCAGACTGCCATATGCGTTTGAGACGCTCTCCGCACCTGGACTCTCTTGGGAGACTCAAGGCCCAAATCCAGAGGACACGGTACAGGCGCCAAAAGCTCGAAGGCAATCCCCCGCGCGACTGATAGGGTTCTGCACTTGGTGTACATGCGCGTGCGCTTGTCCATTCAACACTGGCCACGCGGCGCGCGTTCGCCTCACAATGCAGAGTCTGCGTGCGCGCTTGTGTGCGTGTGTACGTGCGAGCGCGGGCATGGACTCTCAGTGTCCGCGATACTCGCTGGAACGATGGCGGGGAACACGAAGGTTTGAGGCCCCTGCAGGGCTCCAGATCTGGCCGAACCCGGCGCGGCGTTCCCCCAGAACGCCGACCTCAGCATCCCCGATGTGCTTCCAACCGGCCGGGCTTCTGGCCAACGCCCATCTGGTTGTGTGTGCGTGTGTGCGCGTGTGTAGAAGCACGCGTACGTGTGCGCATGCGTGTGCTAATCAACCTCTCTCTCTTTTTCTCCCTAACGCCCTCCTGGCACCCGCATCAGTGCCAACATCGCAGCCTGGCACCCGCACCAGTGCCAACACCGCGCAGCCCTCGATCGTGGCCAGGAGAGATGCCACGCAGGCGCGCACGCGATCGGGGGGAGGGGGGGGGGGGGGGGGACGCTGAGGCTCGGCCTGTCGCGGTCAGGCTTCGTCGGCTTTCCTCTGCGGGATCGCCGGAAGTGAGGATGGACGAGAGCGAGCTGCGATCGGGACCTCTCTTGCTCAGCATGTCGCGGTGGCAGACCCAGCGACCCACTGTTAACCAGCCTCGAACGTATCCCTAACCCCGAGATGGGCGAGCAAAAAGCGAGGACAGCCTTAGGGATAGGCCCTCAGAAACTGGGGGAATCCTTAAGATCGGCATCGAGGTGAGGTGATGTCAAACATAGGGATAGGGATGTAAACTATGCCCTGCAAGCTGATAGCGTGTCGCTCCGCTCCGCGGGGCGGCGGGCGGGAGAAGCTCGGGACATTGACGCCCTGGGGACCAGGACGCGGTTGGCGTGTCGCGCAGAAGCGTGGTGGGCCAGAAACGGCGGCGCGACACGCTAGGCAAACGCTCCTGACCGTACGGCGCAGCCCTCAGGCCACGACCTCCTCCGCACTCAACTGAATGGAAGGCTCATCTGGCGGGGTGTGGGGGGGGGCATCCTTCACATCGTCCGTCGGTCATTATCCTCCTCCCCTTCTTCGTATTTGTCCTACTCCACCTCCATCCCGGTTCTGGCAGGATCGAGTCGAAAGCAGGATATGACCCCTTGCGCACTTGCGCAGGGTCGAGTCGAAACAAGGACTGCGAAGAGGGAGCAGCGGAAGCGGAGGGAGGTAGACAGGGGGAAGGGGGGGGGAGTGGACGTGGAGGAGGGGAGGAGTCGGAGGGCAGGAGAGAAAGAGAGAAGAGGAACGGCGAGGAGAGGGAAGGAAAGAAGATAAGAGGAGGAGGAAGAGGAGGGAGGAAGAGAAGTGGAAAGGGAGGGAGGGGGATAGGGGAAGGGAGGAGCAGGGAGGGGATGACGTGGGCGAGGGCGAGCGGGCTGGTCCTCCTCCTCCTCCTCCTCCTCATCATCATAATCATCATCATCTTGATCCTCCTCATCATCGTAATCAGATTCATCCTTCTCCTCCTGCTCCAACCCATCTCCTTATACATAATTTCCCCCCTGTCGCGCCCTGGCGGGCTGGGCGTTTCGCCTGAGACTGCCTCATCATTGATGATCCTGAAACTTGAAATGTCCAACAGCTTCACAGAAAGAGGGCGGGTGGTTTTCCAGATGTGACTTTCGCGTTGGCGCCGCGTTCACTTGTTGTACACATTTTCAGAATGTGGCTCTCGCCGTAGCGTCGCGCATATTCGCAATCAAAGTTTGCAACTGTCTCAAAGGTTCGCATGGCTGAAGTCCCAAAAATGGCGTTCAGGCGCGATGCAAGGCTGTCAGGCCGCAACCGTCATGTTGATCCGCGGTGTTAAAGCCCAAGAAATGGTGTTCGGGTCCGATTTAGAGGTGCCAGGACGCAACATTACGTGGATTTGCGGCGTCGACGTCCCGGGAACCATGTTTCGGTGCGATTGAAGATTATGCGACGATTGTGTTCCAACGGGCCACTTCCCGCAATGACAATACATTATTGCAGCGACACAGCAAGAGGGAACTTGGAGGGAGAGTGCCTTGCAACATCGTTGATGCACTGCAGGTCTCATCAGTACTTGCCCGACAGAGGACCCCATCCACGCTCTTAATGAACCTAACGCCCTACGGGCCAGTCCGTTAGCAGGCTTCTGGCGCAGCAGAATCGTTTGGCGCCGCGCGTACTCATCATATCCCCCACTTCCTACTGCTACTCAACCTCCGCCTTATCCTCCTTACCAGCAGCATCACTGCTATCACCAGCATACTCATCATCATCACCACCACCATCATCATCATCGTCATCATCAAAAGCATCCGCATCATCCTCATCACCACCTTCAGAATCATCATCCTGATGATCATCAGCATCATCATCACCATCATCACAGCACTACCACCGCCACCAGCATCGTCATCGTCATCCCCATCATCAGCAGCATCATCAACAGCATCAGCATCGCCTCTTCATTTATGACCTCATGATCACCATTATGACCATTACCGCTACCATCACGAACGTCATATGCATCCCCATCCTCATCACCATCATCAACATCATCAGCATTACCGTCGTAATCTGCAGCAGCATCACCATCATCGTCATCATCACCATCATCATCATCATCATCATCATCATCATCATCATCATCATCATCATCATCACCATCATGGCCATCATCATCATCACCATCCATCGCCACCCATCATCATCATCAGCATCAGTATCATCATCAGCAGCTCCATGATCGACATTAGCATCATCATCAGCAGCACCAGCAACATCATCCGCATCATCATTATCATCACCACCATTATCAGCACCGTCATCGTCAGCAGCATCATCATTAGAATCAGCATTACCATCATCATCGTCAGCATCATCATCATCATCATCATCATCATCATCATCAGCATCATCATCATCACCATCATCGTCCTCACCATCATCAATCATCATCGTCACAACCATTGTCGTCATCATCGTCAGCATCGGCATCCTCAACATCCTCACCATCATCACCATCATCACCATCATCACCATCAGCAGCAGCAGCAACATCATCATCATCATAATCATCATCACCATCATCATCACCATCGTCGTCATCATCATCATCAACATCCCCCTCCCCCTTCTCGTCCTCCTCCTCCTCCTCCTCCTCCTCCTCCTCCAACTCCTCCCCACTCGAGCCCCCAAACCTCCCTCCAAAACAAAAGCGAATCTCCCTCGCCAACGCTGGGTCCAATCAAGTTCCCGGACGGCACACTGATGGGCGACGACAGGAAAAGAACAAACCACTGCATCGGTGGTGGCGGAGTGAAATCGGCATCGAAGCGAGACTGAGCCCCTCAGCAAGGAACTCGGCTTCGGTTTCGGTGCACGTCGTGCGTGACAGCGCGTGCGGGCAAGACGAAACTGCGCGAAGGCGAGGAGGATTCCGGCCTTGTTAGAGCAAGGTGGCATCAAATTGTTCCTCCCCCCGGCCGCCTGTCGGCGGGGCACGCGTTGACCCGTGGTTGTCCCGCTGCTGTCACGCGGTTGCCCCAGTTGTCCCGATGGTTGTCTGGTGGTTGTCCTGTGGTTGCCCCGTGGTGGTCCCCTGGTTTGTGGTTTCCCCGTGGTTGTCCCGATGGTTGCTCCGTGGTTGTCCCTCGGGGAGTCCCGTGGTTTTCACGTGGTATACCCGTGGTTGTCCCGCGGTTGTCCCAGATGTAAATGTATACGGTGGCGAGTTGGATATATATATATATATATACACATACATGCAGAACGATGGCGAGGTCGACGAACTAGAAGAGGGATGGTGAGATCGAGGTATCGAATTCCTATCTAGATATACACGTTCTGAAACATCTCGCGCTCCGCGCGCGTTCTATTCCTAGGTTGCCCTACGTCTTGAAAGCAGGAGCAACGGCTGAGCCGGAAGCGGTAAAGTTGCTATTAGCGCCTGCGGGCTTGTGTCCACAATTCTCTCATACCTTGTAGTTTTTCTTCGCAGGAAAGCGTGTCCAGTATAATGTCGCCCTCAGCCATCCCCCGACTGCTGCTCATCCTCATATTTTCTACACTGCTAATCCCTCAATCCCTTGCTCACTCCGTCTTGCCGTCCTCGCCCCGCTCCATCGAAATTGCAATCTGCATCCCCCTCCTCATTGTTTTGCAGTGCCACCGTTTTTCGTATACTTTTATTTTCTATTGTTTGAATGATAAGTTCGCTTGCGAATATCACCAGCCCTCGTTGGCGTGAGTGGTTGAGCTAGGTAGCTATTCTGACTCCTTTCTTCCGCTTCGGGGAGGGGGACTCTCTCTCTCCACCCTCCCCCTGGGTTTAGACCTCTGCTGCAATGCGTCAGAGCGTCAAAGATGGCCAACATTGACGCCAGGGGGCATCCGAATAGCCCAAGATGTCCATACTGCCGCTTTTCGTCCTCCTCCGCCCGTCCCTCCTTCCCTCGCTCACTCGCCGTCCCATGGGGGTGTTTTGTAAAAGTCGTTTGGATTTGTTTCTGGCATATGCGGAGCTCTTGGGAGGGAGCATCTTGTGTGCGTTTTGGGAGCGTCTTGGGGGCGCGGTGGGGGCCTCTGTGGGGGGGGCCTTGGGGGTCGAGCCATTTTGGCTCAAGGCATTTTGGCTCAAGACGTCTGGGGTTCAAGACGTCTGGGGTTCCGCGCGCGCGCCCCCCCTGCACCTCTGGCCCCGGGCATGCCACCGTCACCCGGCGGTCCCCGTGCTTCCATGGCGCGGCGTGGCGCTGCCTCTGTATGGCGCCTATCGTCGCTGCGCTGTCTGGCAGCCGCGGCGACACTGGCAGCCGCTGCGGAGGTCGCTGGGTGTGCATGTTGCCGCCTCGCCAGGGTTGACGGCGAGGTGGACTTCGACATTGGTGCAGGCGCTCCTGGCGACACCTGCTGGGCGAGCATGTGCCGCCCTCCGATGGTGGAGGTCATGGACATGCACCGGGAGTGCTGCCTGGACCAGGCCACCAAGGTAAAGCCTTTCGTGCTGGCACCTGGTGGCAGGGAGGGGGCGGCATTGTGCTGCCCTTCCTTCAGGCGCTGACGCGTTCAGGACCAAGAGGTGCTGTCGGTCAGGGGGCTCGTCAGCAAGGGGGCGAGCACGCTGGTTGGTTATGCTCTGTTGCTTTTGTTGGACGGTGCAGTCGTAACGGCAGGTCTGCGGCATGGGAGGTGCGTGGGCGACAAGCGGGGCGCTGTGCTCCTGTGGGTGACTACGGTGAGCTGGGGTATCGGCGCGGCCGCACGCGGCCTCGAGTTCGAAGGGATTGCATGTGTTTTGTTTGGGTGTCGTGGGGCTCCCCACAGCGCTCCAGAGGGCCTTTAATGAGCCCACGGCGAAGAGGGAGCCAGCCCTCCATCCGCCAGCCACTCCTCGTCCAGCCGTGGCGCATTCGACGCCGCGTCGTGCTCGGCGGGCTGGGCAGGCGCGGGTCGACCTGCCGCGCTCGCGTCGGCGAGAGGCGGCTCGTGTGGTGCGGCAGTGCGAGGTTGTGCGAATGAAGGCCCCGATTT